TTTATTTATTTATTTATTTTAAGTTGCATTTTGTGCCTTAAGCCTTTATTACAGGGCCACAGCCTTGCAGTCCAAAATTTGTCGCCACAAAAAAAAAAAAAACGAGGCAGAAATGTCAAATGTTGAGCCTGTTGTTGATATATTGGATCGGCGGTCGCTTTTTCGTTTCGCGCCTCCAGAATTCAAGGTGTCAGGCCCGAGGTCCAGGTAGCCGTGTAGTGGTGCTTTAAGTGTGCACTGTTTTTTTTTTTTTGACGGAAGGATTGTTTGTGTCTAATACATTTGCGTTTATGTTGCACGTGTGCTCCCGCTCCGTCTCTTGTTTCTCCTTGAATTGGAGCAGAAGAAGGAGGATGCGAAACCACTGCTTCGAGAGATCCGGAGCGAGCAACAGCATGTTCCGCTGTCGCCCCTTATGGAGATGGAGACTGTTTCGCCTTGAGTTTCCGCTTGGACATAGCAGCGGTTCCACCTTGAGTTTTTTCTTTTTCTTTTTCTGTTTCTCTCTTGAGGTCAGTGCTTGTTGTATCATCCGATAAGATAACCCCCATGTGCTGCACCCCTGGTGAATTATTCCCCTTGCACCCTTTTTGTCCCGGCGGCCCGCCCATTCCTCCTTTTCTCCGCTCTTCTGTCACATGCTGTCCCCGCCTGTCCAGTGTCTCGTCCGTTTCCTCACTCTTCTGCTTCCCTACCTCTTCTGCTTCCCTACCTCTGTGCCCCGCCGCGCATGGGCTTGAACTGCTCGAAATAAAGGGCACAAAGTTCTGGAAATGCATTTCCTTTTTCTCGTCTTCTCTTCTTCTTCTTTCTTCTTCTTCTTCTTCTTCTTCTTCTTCTTCTTCTTCTTCTTCTTCTTCTTCCTTAATTTTATTTTTTATTTAGGAAACGCATTTCCAACGACAGCATGGATGACAAATGTGAGAGAAGAGAAGGATATAGGATCTGGGGGGCGCAGGCCTCGTAGATGTCACGGAGCGCTAGGCCTCACAGCTCTAAATGTGAGAGAAGAATTTCATTCATTTGGACAGCCCTTTTGCTACGCTTGGAGGGGTTAGGGTTTGTAGTTGCCATTTAGGTTTTAGGGTTAAGGTCAGTGATTTCTTAGCTGTTGCGATTGGGAAGGTTGTGTTCTTTTTCTCGGGTCGGTTATCCCTCACTAGTTGTTTGCTGTTTTCTGGCCTCCCTGTGCGAGGGAGATTTTCTCTCTCGAGGGTGGTGCTGGCCCTCACATGTCGTCCCGTCATGTCCGGCTCGGAAAGAATGAGGTCCGTCATTCATTTCTTGACGGATCTTCTGTATAACATTGCCGATGTTGTTAACCTTACGGAACCTCCATTCATTCTTTGAAATTTGAATTGCCTTCTTCCAGACTTCTTTTTTTTTTCTTTTTTTCTTTTTTTTTTTGGGAAGACCAGCCTTCCCCTGGCAGCAGTGGCAGGAGGGGTGATAAGAGCTGCCCCTGCTACTACGCGCACGCTGGGCGCTCCTTTCTATTGGTGGGGAGCTTCACCTGCTGGAAATGGGGTCCGGCGTCCCTCTTCTTCCGGACCCTGGTGCTGTCTTTGTTTTTTGTGTTTTTTAGCCATCAGCGGGAGGGTTCCACTTACGCAGGTGGCCCTCACAACCTCGATTGTACCCTTCATTCAACGATCAAATTGTCTTCTTCCATATAATTCTTTTGCTGTTCGGCCTTTTGATCTTGAATTTGTGATAACAAGGGACCGCTTATACTCTGAGCTTTGCTGGAAACTCTGTCTGTCTGCGAAACTTTCCCTCGTTGGAAATTTGGAAGAACCTAGTAGGTACTAATGAGGTAGATAGTGAAGTGCAAGGCCCCAGGCCTCGAAGGGCCCCTAAGCAGGCCGCGACTGTCCTAAGTGAAAGCCGCACCCTGTAATGCGGAGGGAGGGCACAATGCAGGTGCGCAGGTATTTACCCAGTAGGCCGTCGGTGGGGACCCGGACCGGGCAGGTATATGGGCAGCGATGCACGCCGTGGAGACTCAGACTTCGTCCCAGCATCAGAATAAAAGGAATGACACATTGGGCAGTGGGCAGTATCACGCGGCAGGCCCTCTGTGGGGACCCAGACCAGGCAGCTACATGGGCTGTGATCTACGGCGTGGAGATTCAGACCTCGGCCCGGCATGAGAACAAAAGGAAGGAGCCCGAGGCATATATGACACATTGGGCGGCGGGCAGTATCATGCGGCAGCGCTGGTAGTGTGCTTGCAACCTGCGCCAGTGATAGCAGGGACGAGCAGCATGCATTTGCAGCTCGCACATGCGCTGCCATAGCTGGTTGGCAAGCGCCATGCAGGGCAGAAGGCGGTGAGGAGTCGGAGTTGGTCAGAGTAGTAGAGTGGCCGTGGGAACTGGCGGATACATGCGTACCTGGTCTGTGTGGCCGAGGAGAACCTATGTGATCGGAGTCCTCAGCAGCATCGGGCGAGAGGAGAGTGGAGAGAGGGAGTGTGAGGTAGCTGGCTAGAGTGTGTAGGCTGAGTATGAGAGTAGTATAGCCGGATGCATCGTAGCTAGGGCTAGTACTTTGTTGTTCTACTGATACTTGGGAGTGCGAAGAGGGCCTTCATTGTCAAGCGACTTCAGTGTCCAGTGTGTCAATAGATTGGTGTGCTTGACGCTCTCGGCTTTGTCGTTCTGCTTTCAAATTGATTTACTCATGGTTGATCTTCAATGCGCTTTTGCATCTTGAAAGTTTTGTGTTCTATTGTTTTTGGCCCCTGATTGTCTGTAAAACTCAGAAGAGAGACGGTGTTGTCCAGTCATACATAAAGCTGTTCTGAGTCTTCTGAGACAGATCGCTTGTTGTGCTCGGGTGGGGTTTGAGTTCTTTAACCCAGCACCTGGGCCCAGTCTGAGGTAAGTAATGGCGGCTTCTATGTTAGGTGATGTTTGGGTTTGCTGCTGTGCAGATTTGAACCTGGGATCTAGAACTTGAGTTGTTGCCCAGCCATTGTGCCTGAATGGTGTACACATGTACCTGTTCTCAAACAGACCACTTGTTGTGCACAGGCGGGATTTGCACCCAGCACCTGGCCCAGGTCGAAGGTAAGGATGGGCGGATGGGCGGATGCGCGGTTTCTATCTGAGGTGAATTTTTTGTTGCAGTGCAGATTTGAACCTGGGACCTAGAACTAGAGCTTCTGTTAGCTGCCCCTAGAGAATAAGACTTAACCGCGGTGAATTCTTTCTAGACTAGACCTTTGTACGATCCAACAGGCCCAGAAAAAATTCGCTTCGACAAAATTAGCAAGGCAGGAGCAAGTTAATACCTTTCTCGGCCTTTTGGCTAAGATCAAGTGTAGTATCTGTTCTGATCAGTTTAATATCTGATCCGTGGTCCATCGGACCACACTAAAAAAAAGTAGCAGCGTTATTTTTAGCCCCTGGAAGGAGAGAGAGCCTGAGGGCGTACTCACACTACCGTAGCAGTATCTCAAATGTATCTGACCGCATTCGCGGCCATACCCGGTGTATCTGGCCCCAATTCCGTCCAGAAACATGTAAGAAAGTCGTAGTGTTAGTATGCCCCGAGTGCAGCCATCGCCAGTTTGGTCTGCCTCAGTACTATGCTATTTTGAGTGTCGTTTGTTGCGGGCTGCCAAGGGAAGCAAAGGCTCCCAAGTGGATATATATATATATATATATGCCTACGGTTTACCGGGCAGTTCTATTTGACGATATATATATAGATCGGGCAGTTCTATTTGACGATATATATATATAGATCGTCATCCTTACAATGTATGTCCTCTCTGTCGTCAAGGACAGACTCATTCTTGAGCCTTTTCTTATCCTCTTTTCCCTTCATCTTCACTCCACACTCCGTACTTTCCCTTACTTTCCTTTTTTCGTTCTTTGTTTGTCTGCTCTCCATCTCTCCTCCCTGTGTTTATCCCCTCCCCGTTCACTCTGCCTCTTTCTCACAGCGTACCGTTATGGTACACGGGGATCGGGGCAGCTCGCGCTCAACTTCATCAACGTGGCGAGCCTTGTACGCGAGAGGCATGAGAAAAATGAATGGTTTCGGTGTGCCCTTCATGTTTGTCTTGTTTTTATTTTTTTTGTTTCTGCCGTTTGTTTCGCAAAGTGCGCTCCTTTATTTCATAGTTATGTGACAATATATACCTTAGGGTATCAGTTGTCGCGCAGTCGTTGATGCTTAACCACAACCGGGGTTAAGGTGGATTATCAGTTACAGTGTAATCAGTTAGGGGATTCTGCAGACTGTTGAGGGTTCAGCCTCCTGACGAGTTGGTGAAACTCCTACGAAACAGTTTGTTGCAGCCCCTCGTTTGTTGTCCTCTTCTCCCTCTCTGCCGACGGTAAACCGGGCAGTTATGTTTGACGATATATATACATATATGATATATATGGTTTTTTGTCTTGTGTGTCAAGTGTGCTTGTCCAATTCTCCAGTACAAGTTTGGTGTGAAGTTTTCTATCGATCCTGATTACGTTTGAAGCTAGAATGCGTGAATGAAATTGTTTGAAGCTGAGCGCATCACTGAACATCATGAGTTTAAATCTGGGTGGAAGCAGATGGATAGAATAATTATTTGAGTAGCGTTTAGGGATTCCCCCCTTCAGAAAAAAAGAAAAGAAAAGAAAAAAGAAGTGACTGTGAACAGTGTGAAGTTGTTTCAAGTTGGGCAAATTGCAACAGAGCTTGTGACGACTGGAAGCTTCACACGTCGGACTGGTGACAGGTCTAGCTTAAAAGGTGTGCGCCGTTTGCGAGAATGACCCTGAGAAAAGTTCAAAAAGTTGAAAAAAAACCTGAATTTTTTTCTCTGTTAACCGCCTCTCCTCGACGAGAGTCTAGCTGTGTGTGGAAGGGAGAGAAATGTGGCGACTAAAGTGAAGCCGCAGTAGGGAAAGAGGCGGAGGGAGCACATTCTCGCACACTTGCAGGCCAGGAGGAAGCCACATACGCCAATGATTACCAACCCCTGAAATGGACGCGAGGGTCACCAAGGGGAACTCCGAAGACGATTATGAAAATAAAAGAAGGAAAAAAAAATGGAATCCCAAGATCATGTCGGTTGGGAAAGAAGACGAGATTCCTGCTCTGGAGAAGAGGAAGGCTTGTCTGGAGGCAGAGGAGAAGCGCGAGGAGGACGGAACAAAGGCGGAAGTCTATTTGTCGAGTCGAAGAGTGTTGCAGCTGAGTGAAGCGCTGGCTGACATTAGGGATAGGTTGGCTGCATGGTCAACCCTCCAGCCTGGCCATGCGGACGAGTTCAGCCTACCTAAGGGATGGAATGGCCACTATGAGGGTTGCTTTGAATGCAGTCGCTGCTGCAATGAATCCCAAGACATGCTGCCCACATGGTACACCACTGCTGCAATGAATCCCAAGGCCCGATCTGTCTATCGACAGATCGATTACTATGGAAGGACGGAAGACTCGGACAAGATTCACTTTTGTGTCCTTCGTCATGCTTTATGAGACTGCAGCCGAGTTGGAAGACAGAGGGGGAGGAGAAGAAGGGCGGGGGGAGGGGGGGAGGAGGGGCAATGTTGCAGAGTATGTTAAGCACACCAGTTGGGCCCATTATAATTTATAATTCTCTTAGAAGTAGACACAGAGAGATTCCGATGCTTATCCGCTTAGATCAGGCATGTCCACATTATATCATGTTATTTACTCAATTGTATTGCAGCAGCGTCCAAGATATCTTTCTTTCTTTTTTCTTTTCTTTTCCCCAGCGTCCAAGATCTGGTTCGGGAGTTTGATCAA